GTGGGTGGGGGGGTGAGTGGGTGGGTGGGTGAGTGGGTGAGTGGGTGAGTGGGTGAGTGGGTGAGTGGGTGAGTGGGTGAGTGGGTGAGTGAGTGAGTGAGTGAAACTACCGAGAGGTTCCAGCCTCAAAGAAGGAGTCGCAGCTTAGCGACTGCGCTCAGCAACTCTGGGTGTGTCGTCTCCAAGACATCGGTCTCCCACCGAGTCTCCAACCAGGACATGTTGCACCCCCTACCACCGCCACGCAGCGGCCACGCTTGTGAACCAATGGCTGCGAGAGCGAAGTGTCTTCGGGTTTCCCCTGTTCTGCTTCAGATTGTTTGGGGGGAAGTGCAGGTAGACGAGGAATTGACTGCTGCTGACCACTGTCAAATGTTCAAATCAGCTTGCTTCGACTCGATTTTTCTTGCTCCGAACTTGCAAGCAAGGCCTACGGCATATTGTGTATCATTTGCACTTCGCAGTAAACCTGCTTTCCTCTGCATTTGGCACAAGCACCGAAAGTAACAGCTTTTGTGATTTTCAGGCATGTTCCGACCATATTCACAATACAGGCAATTGGATATCTCACTATCCTTATAGGCCACGTAGCCTCGGCGAGAGTCCCCATGAGCTTCCCGAATGAACCCTCGGCATTCTTGATGCAGGATGTCCGGCCAATTGCATTTGCAAGGCTTCAGTAAAGCTGAAGCTTGTGCATGAGTGAAACATCTGGATCGGTTGCCCATGTTCTTCTACTTCGTCCATTATTTGGCAGCTTTTCCTTTCGTGGGTGAGGACAAGAGTGAAACGCGTTCATTCTGTAGCCAACCTGGCATGTCGCAACAAACCCCGAACTGAGCCGCCCAGCATCTCTTTCATTATATATATGAGCAGCGGGCAAAGTTATTTGTGTAGCCAAATACTATTTGACATAATGATATGTTTTTGTTCAGGCCCATATTGTCTTCCAATGTTTCTTTAAACCATACTTAGCATATCGGCACATAGACTAAAACACAGAATACAACTCACAACCTCAGACTAGAGGCTTACAGTGCTTTCTGCACATAGTAGCACAGCACTTTTTTTACCGCACTTGGCTCGGCCCATGAACAAGCGCTAGTAATGTGGAGAAGTAGGTTTACGGAGTGTGTGTGTGTGTGGCGTGACATTTAGGTTAATCCTGTGAGGTCTTTTCAACACAATGCAATTGGTCTAAAGCAAAACGAATCATCGATGAACAGCTTTGCCCATCGGTTTAGCTCAAACAAACATGCAAATGCATGCAAATGCAACAAAGCATTGTAACAGCAAACGGCTGCTTTGTACCCGCTACATCTTATAAAATATCTATCATTATATATCGCTTTTGGTGGGGACCATATCGTTTTCCACAGAAACAAAGGGGGCCCTCAACATAGATTAGGGTCATGCCGCAACTAAGTAAATCAACCAATAACTTTGGTCAGTACATGTCATATGAAGTCATATGATGGTTTAAACAAATGCTTCAGTAAAGACCTTCATCCGTCTTTTGACTTCATGTCCCCAGAAACCGGTCACTCCCCTCACACAGCCCCGTGGACCACCTGAGCCCTCCGGAGCAACACAGCGTGGGCCCGCACGGCCGTCGCCGGCCGGGTTAGAGCCCTTGGAGCGGCGCCGGGCCGGGCCGTTTCGAAGGGTGGAAGCGTGGGTTGCCCTCTGAGACACATGCATGAAGACATGGTTCTGTTTAGTGTGATTCGTCTCAATCTTCGGGTTGTTTGGGGTTGCAGGAGAGTCTCGGTCAAGTGTACTTGGTCCTTGTGACAAGCCCAAGGTCTGGTGTTGTCTTGGGATGACTATCAGTTGCTCAAGATGGTGAATACAATACTTGTAGAAATGCGGTCAGCCTAGTGTGGCTGTTCCTCAATCTGTCAAAGACAAAGCCGAGTGTTGGCTGCTAGCAGTACTTCTTGCAAGAAGAGTCTAATTGATACTTGGCTGTTCAGTGACAAAGTCTGACAAAGGCAAAACTGGTACAATGTTCTTCCCGGCTTTCAAAGTTAGGTAGGATGTTACGTGACTCGAACATGTTCAGAACGCAAGGCCTCCGAAAACGTGGTCGGCGATCGCAGCCCGATCACGATAGATCGCTCTGGCTCAGCGGACCGCAGATCGAGCAGAAGGAGGTGGTCTTGCATACGAAGGCGGCTCCGCCTAACAGGTGCCACGTGGCTCATGTCCATTTGGATGTAGCTCATAGGGCACTAAATGGATACTGTAGCCAAAAATAAACCATCAATGTCTGTATACTATACCTCCAAGTTGCCAGACCAAGTTCCTCTATCACCAGCTCGCTTCGCCCAGCTGTGGCCATGTCCTGCCTCCACGTCGAAGTTCATGAAAGCTTGTCGAGCGAGGCTGGCGGCCACTGCCTTGCCAACACGCAGCACTTACGACACCTCCTTCTTCCGGAAGTGTCCTTCAAAACAGCTTTCTTTCCGAAAAGCAGCAGGATTGCCTGCAAACCCAGTCCCAACCACAAAAAGGAAATGGTTTTGCTACATTGATTCATTTGAATCCTTCATTTTTTAACTTCAAATCCTCGCGAAGTCCAACAAGGTCTCACCTGAAAAAAAAGGTGAAAAAAGGGGGAACCGGGCAAAAATCGCCGGAAGGAGGAGGTAGGGTTCCAGACCTCCGACCTTCGACTCCGTGTTTGCTGAGCGACCCTCGGTCCGGTCTTTCCGGAGACCTCTCTCCGACCGCGGGTCGAAGCCGCCGGTCGAGCGATCCCCGACTCGGCTCGTGGCTTCGCTTAAGAAGCTGCGCCAGTCCAGGCGTTGCTCCCAGCTGCTGATATGCACCGTCGTTAGATCTTCCTGGGTTCGGGCCAGGGATCATCCGATCGGATGCAGGATCCGATGGTTTTTCAAGGCTTGAAGGGAACCATCGTCCCATCTGCGTCGGTTTTTAAACCTGAACAATTGTTGTGTGAAAGTTCCAGCAGTTTGGGGGAACCCCACGTCTTGTTTGCTTCCCCATTTTGGCACGATGGCAATGTCTTTTTGGGGTTCCCAAATTGAAACAAAACGGCTTCACTTGAAAGTTGGGTCAGATCAGCAAGGTCCAAAATCAGAACGTCAGCAAAGCCATGCAAAGCCGTTTCCGTTTCCCGGAGCTCCATGGGGAAGCTTCACAAACTCTTTTCTGTGGGGGATTCAAGGAAGACGAAACCTCAATTGATATCCCCCCCCCACGTGTCCTTTCTGGGAGGCGCCTTCCGTGTTCACGTGCCTCTTCACCCAGGCGGCGTCCGACCGACGCTCCGCTCCTCGGCGATGTCGATCTCGTTGCGATCGCCGGCGTCGACGACGTCGCTGAGGCAGCGCAGTGGAGCGGCCTCGGAGCGCCGAAGATGGAGGTTACAGGTGATGGCCCACTGAAATGCCTGGGGCGCATGGCCCATGGCGGTAGATGTTCAGACATGTTCAGACGATTTCCTGACGAAATCCGGGTGACCTGGTGCTCACCAATGTCAAGCTGTGGTCATGGTGTGGCGGTGGACGACCGTCGGGCCTTCCATCGAAAAAGAGCCCCGGTTGGTCCAGGGGTCTTCCCGATCGTTGGTCTTCGGGTCTTCCGGTACCTAAAGACCCCTTTGGTTTAGAATCTTTGACTCTCACGATGTGGAAGATTGTGAAAAAGAGCATGTCCTAGAACCAGGCCAAGATCAGGAGTATGGAAGATCAGGGCAACGTGGCTGTGAAGGGCAGGCAAGAAAGTGGGGAGAAATGGGGAGAAGCCAAATGGACACTTCAGTGGCTTTCTCCACATTCTTCAGTGTGGCTCCACATTGATTGGTAAATGGACTGGCACTGTGTGGACTGAGAGAGAGGATTCCATTCCTCTGTTCATATAGTCGTATGACCCGTATGACATCTCCTTGCTTCAGATTGCTTCCCGCTTCGCCACTCTTGGGCTGCAGCTCCAGACAGAAAGTTGCTCTCACAACCTCAGGGCTTTAGAGCCAACACAAGAGCTGGACGGCGTCATTGGCAGGTGTCCTTTCTCCACCCGTCCACCGTGCTGACGACTGCTTGCACCAAAAGCAGCGTTTGGTCGGATGCTGTGTTCGACATCGGCCCTCACTGCATCTAGCGACCCAGTTCTGGGGGTTGATGGAGCCCCCCCGAATCCCAGATGTTGACCCACCGAGAAGCGTGTATTGTGTGCCATGTCTCGCATGTTAACCCCGGAGGTTGGGTTGGTGTGACCTCCACTTACTATTGTATTGTATCCCTAGAAGTCCAAAGACATCCAAAGACTGTAATGGCCCTGCCCTAACCTAACGGCCGGCCCGAATGGCCCAGGGAAAACCAGGGAATGGCCAGTTTAACGCCAAATTGCTGGAGAAAGCTGGGTCGACCCATTCCTCACCTTAAAACGAGGAGGAGCTCGTTGTAGGACTCCGGTCAAGTCTATCAAACTTGTACATCGAACTCATCCAGTCGACTATTTCAAGAAGGGTCTGACCAATTTCGGTGACCCGAGCGGACTGGAAGTTGTTGAGACCTTCATCCAAATGCCAAAGAACGAATCGAACGAATCGAACGAGGACTTCGAATCGCTCGGGGTAATGGCTTGACCTTGAACCTCGGCCTTGACACCCCGGACGCCAAAAGCACCAACAGAGCCGTCTCGGGCCGTGCCCGATTTCGTCAAATCCGCTACAAGCAGGACAAGCTTCTGGGCACGAGGGAAAATGAAGGGTACCAGTAAAGCACAACAGGGTGGCCAGTGAACTGGTTGTGGGGCATGGTTTCCCATGCAAAGGAGGAGACCAAATGGCAGTAGCAGCGGGCATCTACCTTGTTGAGCCCTGGTAACCCATACCTGCCCTGCCTCAGAACTGGCCGGATGCCCTCGAAAGGCACTCCCTCCCCTCCTTCGTGCCAGGGAGCTCCCCTGTGCTGATTTCTTCTGAGGAACCTTCGTGGAGGACAGAATGGAACTTCAAGAAAAGTACTACAAATTTACAAATAAATATGCCCTAGAAGTCCAATTCAACGGTATATTGCCCCATCAAAGTAAAAGAAAGTCCAAGACTTGCGCCACCTAGTCCGCCCTGCCTTTTGTTTCGTGTAGCACGCATACTAGTGTTAAACAGCTGAGCAAACCTGAGAATGGAAAGAAGAGAAACGAACAAAAGTCTAAAGGAGTCTAAAGGAGCACCCAAAAGTCGCAACAATGAATCCAGAGATAACGCCCCTGGCCTCGGGCTGAATCCAAAAAGGATTCTTCGGCCTAAATCCGACGAGGCTCGTTGGATCGGTACGACCCCTAAAAGAACGAACAAGCGAGACACATGAATCAACATGAATCAACATAAAAAGAAAGATCAACAATAATAGTTGACTTAAAAAGGATTGCTTTTGCTTTATACATCCTCTCTTTTTCTCTAATGAATTTGCATCTTACACCACTTGGTCAGCTGCGTGCACTTTTTGGTCGTAACACTCTGCTCCTCAGTTGTCTCAGGTGCGAAAAACAAATGTCAGAAGCAGTCAGTCACACAGCAATCCGTGTCCTCTGCCTGGGGCGAATCTGCCTCAAGTTCGAGGCCATTGAAATCAGGAAAAAGAAGAAACTCAAACAATCGATTGAGCATCCGTCTGAAAACGCTCTCTGCCTTTCCTCTCATTTTGGGTGAAATTCGTTGCGCGTCGTTTCTGCCTTGGAATTCGGAGAAGCCGCGTCCCACGCCGCGGTGTTGCCCAGGTGTGACCCCTGTCAGACGTCTCACTCAGATACTCATCCGTCATGTTAGGAAGCCGGCCGTAATTGGACTGGCTGTTCCGATTCAAGAGTAACTGCCACTGTTTACCACGTGTTTACAAAGACGAAAAAAAGAAGTTAAGGAAAACAAAACCATGTAATTACTGAGGCCAAGTGGATGGGTCAAGCTTTTTGTTAGCCACTGGATGGTTGGGAAAAAGAATAATACAAAACAAGCGTGCAGTCGGGGTGCCTGAGCGGTCGTTTGCTGACTTGCACCCGCCGCCGCTTTGTCAGACGAGATGGATGTTGGGGTGACTGCTTCGGCATTTCTCCACCTGACGGCGCGTGCCTTTCTCGTCTGCTCGTGCCGTCGTGTCGACCCACAAGGGACTGTCAAACGATCAGCGTCCGGCCGGCTATGCCCACTTTGAACAAAAGCTTTCAACCCAACACTGTGAAGAAGCTAACTTGTAGAGCAGCCCAACATTCGTGAGAAGAAGCTAAGCGTGTACATGAGAAGGTTGGCCGCATTCCAATCCGTTGATCTAAGTGCCTTTTCCTGCGTCTTTTCAGCTTTCAAATCTTGCAACTATACAAGTGTCCTTTATGACGTGCATGCAACTGTGCTTTTGAGTTCACCCAACTGAGTTTGGGTATACATATATACTATATATTGTACATTATATACAATATATATATATATACATGTGAACAGAAAAATATAGATGACTCTGAAAAAGCTTTGTGCAGGTGATCTACCTGTCCCTGTCCAGTCCGTGGCTGTATAGCTGTGTGGCTCCGTTTCTGTTCAAACGAGGGCGGCACGTTGGTCCTTCAGATGGCCAGGACGGTTCTCGAGGCACCTGCGGCTCTCTTGAGCAGCCCATCCGCCCGTGATACCATTGATTCAATAATCGGGTCATGCCGAACAGTCCATTAGTTCTGCATATAGTTCTATATACTAAATACTGTAGAGTACGAAACCAGGTCCTTTTAACAACCATTGTTTTAATGGTCTTTACCAAAGAACCATTGTTTTAAATTTACAGAGGACTTTGCAGTAACTACAACGAGAATGAACCAAGTTTTGGGTCGAACAGGGGGCAATCGGGTCACAGAATTCCGATCTCTTTTGGCTGAAAAAACCGCTGGCAGAATCCGTCACACAATGTTCCACACGCAGCGCCCCACTTCGATTACCACGTTCCCTACGCCTACGCGATTTCTGCAAAAACAGGCACTTGGTAGGCTTGTAGGAGGGAGGAAAAAATCAAAGAAATGGGACCGTCGGTACGATGATCCATATCATCATCGGAGGATGTATTTTACATGCTGTCACATCGCGAGTTGCAGGGTAGAATCATCAGTGAGTAACATCTTTGCAACGAGAAGACCTCCATCAACTGAAAAGGCCAAAACGTATGCAAAACATACACCATGTTGTGGCTGTCTGTGAGAAACCTGGCATGTGGGTTGACCATGCTTGACCCACGAAGATAAACCAAATGAACCTTTCTTGCGCGTCAGCCAATGTTGTGGTTTTGAAATGTGAGGTCGGTTTTCATCCAGACTCATGTGCAAAACGACGGCTTGATGACGGAAAGATCAAACCGTTGATTCAAACGAGCGTTTCCAAAATGAGCGGATTTGAGCGGTTTGCCCAATGGGTTTGCATTAAAATAGGCAGACCGTGGCTCCGGTTGTGAACCCCCCCGAGGTTTGGGAAATAGACCTGTCATAGCCAGTCTACCCATCAGGGCGATCGGGGCCCTCTTCAATTCCGCCCGCACCTAGCTCGTGGGGGTGACTGTTCAATTGGGAACGGAAATGCATATCCTTCATCATGAGGTGTGTCTTGAGAGGAAGTGGTGGTGGAAGAAAGCATGCAAGAAGAAAGCATGCAAAAACACTGGGCAAATGGACGGCTTTGCAACATTTGATGTGGTGTGCCATATGATCTGAGGCAGGACATGAAGTGGCACGCTTGCAGTGAGAAATGACCCAAACTGTTGCAAGGAGTCGTTGTTTGCTTTTCATGGACCTAAGTAATGATGCAAATGATGTGATGATGGGAGATTGATGAGATTCATCCACTGCATCGTACTTGTCATCTCTAGGTCAAAAAAGGTTACAATAAAGTATACAAGATGCATGGTCGACTCATATAGGGCCTAGAGGTGAACAGTACTAACTTGCAGGCATTGTTGGATATAAGTTGGGCCCCCTGACAACTGTAATTCCAAGGGTGTCAAAAAATAGAGTCATTACAATAAACTATACAATACGAGTATGGTTGTATAACCATCTGACAAGAAACATCAAGAAACTAGACAGTCTAAACATCTAGTCCTGCTCATTCGGTGACGCATCATCCGGGGCGTTGGCGACCGGACATGAATGACGGTGCGAAGGACGGACATCGCGACCGATCTCGCACGAACTTCACAGGTCACGAGCCCCATAAAGGAGCCCCATCGGAGCAGTCGGAGGATCCCTTCATCAGGGTTCGCTGTGAGTGAAACAGCCGAGGGACCCTGGTTTTTCAAAAAGGTGGACCAGTCTCTTCCGTTCCCTAAACGGCCCTGCCTCGCTGCTGAGCTCACGCAGTTCGTGCGGCCGTTGTGGTGTGGCCGGCCCGGCGGGAGGCCTTGTGAGTCCAAAATAGAGATGGTCACAACTGCCAAGCAACAGCAGGCAAAGGTATAGTGGTCCCCAAATAGATAGAAACGGTTTCCAATTACACATTTTTAGTGGGGAGTTACTTTTCTATCTATTTGGGGATCTATGTAGGCAAAGGTAGGATAAGGCCACTGTTTGTGAAAGGATTCAGCGGATTCATTGTGCACCTGTATGACTTAAAAGGTGACAAACTGGTTTCAAAAGAATGTTACTAGAAGCAAGAATGCTCCTAGTAGCGATGCCAGGAGCCCCTAGGAGCGTCCTTGCTCCTAGTAGCGATGCCTCTTGTTCCTAGTAGCGTACAGGTGGCAAATGAATAATGTGTTTCTCCCAAGAAGTTAATGGAAAAGTAGATAGTTACCGTACATGGATCAATCAGCTTAGACCAGGACAGGTTGGAGGATATCTGATCCTGCATTTCAAGCAACGCTGGAAAGGCAAACCATCAAGGATCGAAACCAAGTTGAAAAGCAAGGGCTCTTCACGGCATGCAAGAGATAGATGAAAGAAATCGCCATTGTACATGTTTGAGGCTCGACTCGCATCCGCGTCAAATCCGTTTTCCAAATATGTAAAGCCTGTGCAACGCACGCGCGGCACGCGTGCGTCAGCATCACTTCCGTCCCGGACCTCCTTGCCTTCCTGCATCACCTCAGGCCTTCAGGTTTTGCAAGCTCTTAGGGGTGGTACACCAAACTAAAGGCTGGGAGGCCAGTCGGCTGTTCCAAGAATGGGTCGGCTGTTCCAAGAGTGACCCGAGTCGACCAGATGCTCTTTGGGCATATTCTCGTTACTTGTACCTTGTTTTTTCCTGCGGATTCCATCCTGTCCCTCACTCCATAACTCGACTCCATTCGTCTCACCGATGGGAGCGAATTGAATTCCGCCACGTCCCGTTTCGAGCGTCGGTCTCGGCACCGAGTCGACCATCCACGTTGACCAGGTCTCCGCGCCCATCTGGCCCATCTCCTGGAGCGTGGCGCACTGCCCAACGCACCGCGCCACGACCGACGCAGGAGGTTGGGCGATGCCACACGACGCACGTGTGAGGCTATGGCGCAAGCTTTGAAGCCGATGGTCCCAAGGAGCCCCGGAATTCGGGAACCTGTTACAGGAACCTTTTTTTCGGAAGTGGCACTTCCAGACTGCAGCTCACACTGCTAGCGGTTTGGTATTGGTTTCTGTGTCATGATCTGTCGGTCGTTGATGGTCGTTGGTGAGACACGCTCTATCCTGAACATACATAGAGACATTCCATGGGCCGTGTGATGCCCTGTGCTACTGAAGACCGGAAAGCTACCATCAGAAATGCGGAACTATGGCATGCCCGGACCATGCCTGCACTGGCCTCTGATCTGGGAATGTCTTCAGTAGGCCGTGAGGCCATTCTCCTAAGAAGAGCTCAGTTCCGAAAGAGAGAAATGTCACGAAATCGGTTGGTCACTCATCTCTTGAAAAAAGAGAAGAACTCTTCCACCCTCCACACAACGTGTCGATTCTCGATTTCTCACAGTCCCAAATCATCTCTTCAGACACAAAGAATTAATATGGGAGTCATTCGCAGAAACTGAGCCGAGGGCAACTCACCCTGCGCACGTGTCACAAAATGAGACACAACTGATGTCTAAAGAACACATGCAAGGCATGGGATTACTTTTCAGGCACGGCGTCGTGTGAGCCAAGGCATGAGGTCGCAAGGCTTGAAGGCGTAAGGTCGCTGAAGGCCTTCCTTTCTGCTCTGGCAACTCATAATTCTTTGGGAAATTCTTTAAAGCGCCATGGCACCATGTGTTTAATGGACTGAATCTCAAACACCCGTTGTTCTACTAAGGATTCTACACTCCAAAACGAGGTCCAAAACAGCGGCGCACCCAGACGAGTCAGACTCGCCTGGTCGGAGGCTATGCGTCTATACTCGCATGCGAGACTACCCGGAAAGCATCCTGAAAGAACCCGGCTTGAGCTGATCTAGTTCTTCACTGCTGGCCGTGTTTGAGGCTTGAGTCATTGTAAAGAAAAACGTGGAGTTGGCAATGCATGGTGCTATGAAAATAGACAAGACATCAAGATGTAAAGGATGTAATTATAAAGGAAAATCATGGAAAATCGCTTCAGTTTGGTTGGATCTCCAGCTGCAAGGTCTATTTAATCAGCTTGTTGTTGTTGTTGTTGTTGTTGTTGGATTGCTCAAACCTGTCCAGCGGACCTTCGCAGCGCAAAAGCTCGGCAAGAGAGCGTGATTCCGAACCTCTGGTGGAACAGAGGGTGATCCCACCAGAGGGTCGATGATCCCACAAGGCAACAGGGTTCGTGCACGGTTTTGTGTCATAGTTTCTTATTGTACATTCTCTCCTCAAGTACCCCCCATGGGGGAAGGGCATGGGAAGGTGCGACACGGACATGTGCGCAAGGTGTGTGTGATGTGTTTGCTTTCTTTTTGCGTCCGACACCATGTGAGTGCTCAATTCGACGTAGAGGTTCACACCTGAGAACCCCTTGCCAAACACTAAGCACACATTAGATCACATGAGTAAGAGGTATGAGTAGTAGGAAGCTACCCAAATTTCGACCCATATGATCCACAGAAGCGGTCGCTGATTATGGAGTGACCCTTCGAAGCCTTCGATGAACGTTGTGCTCATTTTCTGGGAGTGTGATCCCACAGACTGCACACGTAATCGTCCGCCATCGTCCGCAATCGCCTTTTTTTCTTCACTTGAAGAATGAATTCATTCTCGGCGCGCTTGAGTGCCTCCTTTTGGGGCAGCGCCACCTAACGGCGCTGAGTATTTGAATCTTGACTCATGTTCTTCGCTCTCACGGTGTCTATTGGGTTTCAGGAGGGAACTTCACTTTCAGGGGCCTGGTGGTTGATATATATATATGGCTTTTACCGCAATGTAATCCACAATGACCATGTCTTTGGAGGGCGTCTTGCCAAAAGAATCGGCCACCAAGGATGCCAAGAGTCGCCTAGTCAACCCACACATCCACACATCCACCATGGGGTTCTTGCATGACAGTATGATGCCTCATGCCAGGATCTGTCAAGACTTGTGGCTGGCACCCGAAATCTTCTTCGTGACCGTCAGAAGTTCGGTGCTCATCCTGTAAAAAAAGAAGTGAAGTACTCAGCGCCGACCCAGAAACAGCGACGGCTCGTCGCGAGCCCTCTTTTCTTTTTTTCGGTGCGGCACGGCGACCGCCACCGGGGCGACCGTGCCACTGCCTCGGTCGACGGAACGGTCGAGACCGGTGTCGTCGTGTCGATCGGTCTTGGGACGGAGGCAGAAATCGTTCAAGAAATGTGACGCGTCTCAGTTCAAGTTGATGACCTTTGCCTTCAAGAAGAGGTGCTTGGTGTGCTTGGCTATCAGAGAGAGAGAGAGAGAGAGCTCTGCAAGTCAAGTTTCTCACAAATATTATGTGCATATATATAATTACAATTAATTACATACCTGGAGCATCCAATGGGTGTCCTATGGACTACCCTACACTACTATCCGGGATCTCCATTGGACACCCAGACAGGATGGTCCTGGTTTATACTGTATAATCTGTATATTTAATAAATTCAGTATACACACGCAACATACACACCGTGTGTACACCGATTTACGTGTTGATTTGTGTTGGTTCAGAAATGTGTTGGTTCGGAACACCCAAATGGCGCTGTCAAGCCCTGTGACATCTATGGCTAGAGGAAGCTACTAGGAGATACTAGGAGCAAAGGGCATCGCTACTAGCAATCATTGAAGTGGAACGTGGGTCCCTGGGAAGATCATGTTCCTCTACAAGGGGGTCCTGGTCAGCTTCCCTTGGAGGGTAGTAAGCACTGCTACTCCTGCTACTTTGATGAGGACAGTGTCAGGGTGCAATGGCACTAGCATGACAGCAACAGCGTCTTCGCTAAGGCAGATGCACACGTTCACCACTTCACCTAGAGCTCCTCATCATTCATGGCCATCATTTGCTCCTGAGGGATCTCTCCATCACCCCTTCGTGATTGGACCAAAAGAGATGTAATAAACGACCAAAACATCCAATCACGACTTCCTGGGACGAAACACAACTTCCTTTACTTTGTCAAAAGATCGTCTTAGCGGCATATCGTTTTCACACACCATCGTGGCGAACGCACCTGCTTGTCTTGGTAGTATGCCCACACCAGCACGGCCAAGATGAGTGCCAAGATGAGAAGACCTTGGAAAGGGTTTTGCTCGAAAAGCCAATATTTACAGTACACACACACTAAAGTGCTTTAGTCACAGCCATGTTCTTGACTACGTGAGAGTATGTTTTATCCTTTCCTACCCTCTTGCTCCCTTCCTGTCCTATCCTTCCTTGTCTTTCTCTTTCGAGCTGGCCGTCAAAAGGGCCTTTCCCGCACGATGCATCCCATAGGTCACTGAACAACCCAGCTCTTCAGCCGCGCCCACTCTCCGAACCAGCCGTGCTCGCCGGGCACTCTCGCTGGGCCCACCGAGCGTCGGCGACCGTGCCCTACACGACTGCTGGAGTGCGAGACGAGCCTGAAAAAGATGCTTAGACCTGCTGGGATGTCGGATGAGTCGCGAACGGTTCTTCCAGCCACACGGCAGCGAACCGCAGGGCGGGGGATGTCGGACTCCTTAAAAGCTCCGGAGCCGATCCGTGTCGATCCGCGGTTCCACAAGGCGGACGTGCTGAGATAACGGGATGGACTCCATGTCGACGTCTGGTCATATTCTCCTTTTGACCACTCGTCTCTTTTTGTTGCCGAGCTGCGAGCATCGAAAGCTTCTGCGCACGCGTTCTCTTTGGACCGCTCGGTTGGCGGAAATTCCGAAACATCCAAAGCAGGGTGACCGGTCAACCCTCATTCCAGCTCCGCGATGGCACAGGTGCAGCCCGGCGTCGGGTCCCAAAAGAAGGACGGGCACGGCAGCGACCAAGGGACGGGCGGCTTTCCAGCGAGGGCTCCGAACAGTGGAAGGGCTGATGATCGCACAGAGGGGATCGGCGATGCAGGGACCCGGCGGTTTGGTGAGTCAGTTGGTGACCAAAGCCAGCCAGATGTTGCGCTTCCCAGCCTAGATGTTCCTTCTCTGGATAGGCATCTCAGAACTTCTCATGCGATTAACTACCCCCAAATCCCGATGGTCCAACAAGCAATGCGGCGCTTCATTTGAGGTTCACCCCACCCTAAGTACCAAGTAGTTGAGCTCATCCACCCCACCTGTGACCCAAATGCCGACACCTGAAAGCCGGTTCCTGAAAGCCGAAAACCGACATGTGACATGTACGGTTTGAACGCAGGTACCTGTTGCTCTTCTCTATCAGATCATTCATCGACCACCCCTGAGTCTGGGAGATCTCAAAGGCCTTGAGACCGGGCGGTCTAAAACAACTAGTAGCGTCCATGTTCCTAGTAACAGCGATGGCCTCCAACCGAGCATAGCAATGGCCTCCACCGAGCATAGCGTCCTGAAGTACCAAGGACCGGACCCACCAACAAGCCGCAGTACTCGGTGATACTTGCTTCTTCATGCTCCTCCTGTGGAACCGCGGCCCACCAAACACGCCAAGGTGTCCGAGTCCCCTCAACACGCCCAAAAGAAAAGCAGGCTGAAGCAGGACTGCAGTTTGCTAGGTGGCATTGTATCATGGCAAAGTTCCTGCAGTTCCCCGGGAAGTTCAAAGACTATATATTTATAAATAGCACAAAGTTCTTTTTCGGATCACCTAATGTCACCTAAACACCATGTCTTATATAAGTGGTCCCATGTCTGCATTATGTTCATTTCACGAATGTGTTCCCTCGCCTCATCATTCCAGCTTCGGATCTCACGAAGACGCCGCTCGTACCTGAAAATAATGATTCCAAATCGGATTCCCCTATGAATTGGCACATTGAGGAACCAATGACTCATATTTGACTTCATATGACTCACATGACTCGCGACACGTTGAGGAATCATGATTCCTCTGCATCGAAAATGCCAATTCCAGGCATCGCACTCCTTTGGATCGTGTCCACGTGCGCGCCCACACACTTGGCAGATCGTCTCCTCCTGGAAGGTGCACGGCCGGGCCAAGTCAGAACTGATCCAACAGGTGTCCACTGGGTCCCTGCTTAACATCCTTGCTTTGGGTCCCAACAAAAAGAGGAATTGACCTGAGACTAGCATACACCTGGTATGAAGATCTGTTTTCGACCTGGAGTAGCGAGGTGAAAGTTTTCGACAGGGAAGACGTAGTCGATGATCCAAGGCGCAGGAGTTGCGCTCGGACTGGGCTAAAGTGGCCAGGAAACCCAGTCCTGGGAGTTCTTCTTCGAGCAAAGTAGGCATTTCCACTCACCCCTGCACAACTGAGCAAAGTAGTCTTGCAAAGGCTAGTCTAAACAGCAACAAGTCTACTGATGGACTGTGGAGGGCATGACTTCAAGTGATAAAACTCCCTACACTTCACAGTGCATGCAGAATTCCATGCAATCAAAGAGAAAAGTCAGGCTGACAAGCCATTGGATTGAAGTTCTGACTGACCATCAGCACCTCTGCTTCTTGACCTTTTCCTGACATGCGCAAACTTGCATGCTGGGAACTGGCCAGGTACCATCGAAACCCACTGGTAAATGGAAAAGCCGTCTATACTATATACACAAGCTGCAAGTTCCGAAGTCTTTGTTTTTGAGCCATAGGCAATAGCCACATTGACTCTAAGAGGCTCTGACCGAAGGAAGGATCATGACGATCATATGGTGACACTGAAGACTTGGCGGCCTCCTCATGCGCCGCTGGCATGAGCCACACTGCAGGTCTCGCAATGCTCAGAATGCATAGATAGACCTATGAGTGACACCTGTTTTGGAGTACCAACCACTCAAAATACGCCTTTTCCCAGCAAAGATCTATCCTTTCTGATTCTAGGTATATACTTTTCATGAGACCTCATGATTGTTCCAAGGTCAGCCTG